TTTTTTTCAAAACAATTATTAAATATGCATTAAAACCGCCACATTAAAGTTTTTTTACATTTATTTCTCACATCTATTTCATTTCTATTATATCCTCAATTATTTATTTAACATTTGAAGTATCCTTTTTTTTTGTACTATTCTAATTAGTCAAGATAAAATATTCAACAAAAACCACGTTTTCTTTAGGTTCAAAACTACTAATATTAAAACTATAATACTAGGTACACCAGCACAATACAAACAATTTGTTTTAGCATCCATTGTACCTATTGATATAATACGTATAGGATTAAGAATAATAGAAATTTCAAAATTAAATCTTAACTTTTGAATTAGACATATTCATGGGAAGCGATAAAGTTTTATATAATTTTTATAAATAAATTATAGATATAGTAAATATGTTTTTTCTTAATTATATTTACCAGTACAACTACTGGATATAAATATTTATTAATATACTGGGTGTAATAATTAACCTGCCAAACGTTAAATTAAATTTTGTTAAAAAAACGAAAAGTCAAATGAGAATAGGCCCAAAATGCTTCTTAAGAGATTTACAGCTCCTTGAAAATACGGGTCTTTGGAGGCTTTTTATTATCTCTGGAACTTGGAGGAATAAACAGAGATCTGCAAACCCTAATATTCTCAACAAGTTGGAATATTTCTAAATAGATCAGAGATGATGGAGAAAAACATTGGAAAATGTTAACCCCAATTTCAATAAGTTAGACTGTCAAACTTCATCACTAGATCTTTCAAAAATAAGTAAGGTGCTAATAAATCCAGGTTGAAAATTACGTCCTGAATGGAGAAATGATAACTATTTTCTTATTTTTGAGCCTAAAACCTAGTAATAAAGTTTAGCAGGCTAAATGGACAATCGATCTAGAGATTTACATTTACGCGCGTGGGAGATCTGTTAAAAACAAAAACGGTACACCCTGTCGACATCTGACAGGAGAACCTTGCTTGTAAATAAACATACTATTTTTTAATTTTTCGTTAAAAAAACTATCTACAAAAATGTTGGAGTAGTTTTTATCCATACTCCATGAGTTTTGATGGAGAATAGAACAATACATATTTAAAGTTATTCCTACAAGTTTCGGAGACATGAAATAAAAACCCTCTTCAGAGTCGCATTTTTAGGCTTATGTTTGTTGAAACTTTTTTCGTATAATAAATCTAGTTATGATGCTTTGCAGGATAATGATGTATTTAATAATGATTCTTAATACACTTTTCATACCAAAATTGTGTACTTAATATGGATGTAACAGAAAAAAGTATATAATATACCTACAGTCCGTACCATATTTGTTGAGTTAGAATTGCAAGAAAACAATAAAGTTCTGTTATTGGAACTACTGTAACAATTTATAATGCCAAGGGCGTGCCTTGACATTTTCCGCGTTACTTTCAGAATATCAAAATACTTATATATAAATTATTTTTTTTATTAAAATGTGTTTTTATTTCTTTTACAGTACAACAGAGTTCAAATCATAAATAAGAAATTACATTGAAAATGCACAGGACGATACACTTACGAAGAAACACGTCTACGTCACTGCAAAACACAGTATGCACTGCAAGCGGTACCTCGAGTGTCGAATGCGGTTAATTCCAAGAAAGTGACGCAGGGATCTTCTTGGAATTCTGTGTCAATAATTATCGTACCGACTGTATAGAACCGTGTGTGGAGATTTTATAATTGTTAAGATTCAAGGTGGTGTAGCTAATTAAAAACTATGTTTTAACTACACAATATTAAAAATTTTGAAAAATAAATATTTTTCAATAAAATAAAGTATTTTCTGTGCAAAGTTTATAGTGTTCCGGTAAAATTATTCAACAATATATTTTAATTTTGTTCAAATTCACTTTGTTTGATTTTAGTTGGATTACTAACATTTACAAAAAACTTTATTATTAGAGCTACTTTAATAGGATTTTAGAAGTTTTTATGTTTAACAATTATTTATAGAAATTGGTTGAAAATTTATCACCATTTTTCAGATTTGTGTCATCATTTCGCATGTCATCAATGAACTGGCAATTTATAGGCAAAAGCGAGTGTCAAATTTTAGTTTTGGAACAGAAATCAAACAAGATAACAAGAAACCAGCGACAGTTATTGTGGACTATTTACTGTCTTAGATTAGTATGAAATAACAAAGAGAGAATACTAAAGAATAACTATTTAAATTTGCCGCCAAAAGTAGGTTATGTTAGTACTTTTCCAAGCTCAGGAGTGCCATATTTATCCGATGATATTTCTTCCATTGCTACATTTATTTATTAGATATATAAAATTATTTATTATACAAAATAATTATATTTACAAATATTATTCATTTTAAAATGGAAATATGCAAAATTAAAAAAAAACAATTAGTAATTTTAACTCTATTGACTCAAAATCAATCGTGTTTGGGTATATGCAACAGATTTCTGGATGTGCATATATTCCATGACGATTTCTATAAATGTCTCATCCTAACGTAATTTTGGTGATATTGTCTGAACATACGGATTTGTGGAAGAGTAATAGTTTTTTCTTTTCATTGGAAAACTTTGCAACTTGTTAAAAATATTAAAAATTAATTAATTAAATATGTTCCTGGGCTAAAAGCATTTTAACAATTTTAATTTTTTTTTAACACACAAATACTTTCATAAAAATAACTCATGACGTCGTTTAAGCGTGAATTAAACTGTCGCTGACGGTAAAATATCCAAAGACATAGAGTGAAAAAGAAATCATTTTGTTTCATTATTCATGTTATATTATGGGTTATAATGGGAAAATATACATTAATTGATTATGAAAAATATTAATGAAGCAAGTAATAACAATGAAGTTGTTTTAACTGATCGAGCTGTAAAAACTGGCCAATAAATTAGAATTAGGTATATCTTAATTTATCGGCTAATTTGTTAAAGCTAGAAAATATACCACAATTTTTGCATGTGTTCCAATATCACTTAGTCAGTTTCCTGATCGATTTGTTGTTATAAAAATTGATACATGTAAAACAGTTTTTTTTGTGATCAGTGAAAATTTCGACAGTTTTTCAAATGAAAGAATATATTTTAAACCTAAATACTTTGCCAGCTAAAAAAAATTATGATGGTGCATCCATAGAAACGTCATTCTTATCTCACTAAAAATATCATTTTAAATAAAGGAAATAAGGTGAAATAATATACCTACATGTTCTAATGAAGGACTCGCTTATTTCATTCACTGTTTATTTCAAAATATATGCTTTTTTCAAACAACTTACTATAAAATCAAACTGCGATAAATTTGTATAGCATTTCAGAATACACAATGTACGTTTAGAGAAAGACAACATTTAAGAGAAACAGAGAGGGAAAGGATAGAGTGCGATAGTGGAAAAGCGGGAGGGGCAGAGAGAGAAAGAAATATAAGATGAATTCGCCAGTATAAGTAATTATCACATAATTCTTCATATTACTATTATCTTATTATTTTGACAAAAATTACTTTCAGAATATATTTGTCATTATAAGGAAATTCTGCAGTATAATTAAAGAAGAATATTTCTTGTTTACTTATCCTAGAATTTGGATATCTGTGAAAGTAAAATGAACACCACTTTTTCTGAAATGGATTAATTTATTAACAATCTAGGTGAAGTCATGTTACTAGATCGCCAAAGACCAATTTAATTCGGAATAAAAGGACAGTGTTACTACTTAATAGTTAAAACAATCGTCATTTGAAGAATCAGATATTACTAAATTGCATATTATTATGATATCTATTTTTTTAACGTTCGATTTAAAATGTACATAAGTAGAATATGTAAATAATGGAGTGTTAAGTTGGAAGATCTTCCTGACAGACATTCAAATGTTACAAAATAACATAGCTAAAATTATATTTGTATATTCCAATAGACAGTTTTGTTAATATTAATTTCTTGAAAAGGGCTACTTTTATACTATAATTAAGGTAGCCATATTAGCATTAATAATTATTTAGGTATTAACACTTTCTTAATAGTAGTTAATGTTGCCTAATATGCATTATTGACTCTGTCAAATGAACGACTAATAATAATAAACAGCACCTTCTCCACACAAGAACAATAGTTGCAAAAATAATTATAAAGTACAAAATGCATGACTATTTTTTATATCTATTAACAGATGGCGTTGTATGAGAAAGAACATTATGTGGAGTTGTGATCACGTCACTTGTACTGGAACACCCGGTACATGACTGCGGCATACCGTAATATTTTTCTTAAAAAATATGTCAGAACAAGTTAAAACGAAGTTAGTAAAGGTTAAAGTGCCACGGATTTATTCAAAAATAGCTTTGATACTATGCCGACGGAAGAACAATATCTGTATGAGTATTTAAATATTTCTTTATAAGAAACTGAGTAACATAGACGCCATATTGGAGAAGACCCCCCTACCTACATGCTATATGGTGTAACCTGATTTGTCACCTTGAGTTTTGCGCCTATTTGTATTGAAAAATAACAGAGGGTGGCTCAGATCAGAAATATATGCATACAAATTAAAAACGTAGGTAATATTAAGGTACATAACTTTACTATAAAATAAAGTTTGTTGGTTCCATAGTAACATATTGTTGTTATAATGCTCTAAGCAGGACTAAATTCGAAGGATATTAATATAAATGAATATTTGTTACTTCTAATCACGTAAATATTTAAAAAAGTAGGTCCGGTTGATAAATGAAAACACATTAACTGCATGTTTAGATACACACTTTAGATGTTAAAATTATTAGTGCGACCAACCCACAACTACTAGTCTTAATTGAATAACTTACAAGTTGGATAATTTATCAAGAAACAGGCGTAGGCTGTTCACTGAAATTTGTACAAATTTTGATACACATAATTTTTTATATAACAAATTAGTAGTACCGGCTTAGGATTACATAATTTAAACATTCGGATTCAAAAGTGAAGTGAAATAGTTACCTATGGTCCCTTAGGTGGTCTTGCCTTCGGAACGCCTTCCCACAAATGTCACAGGAGTAAGGCCTCTCGTCAGTATGCGTCCTTTCGTGTATCAGCAAATTGTAACTTTTCGTAAACTGTCTATTACAAAATTTACATATAAATTGTTTTTTTGGTCTCGAACTGCCCTTCTGCCTCGCCACTATCACGTTAGTGGCGGCCGTGCTAGACGAAATGTTGGCCGAACTATTTACTGAGGTTTGGTATATAGAGTTCATTATTAAACTGGGATAGCTCGTGTCCACCGGCGAAGAGGACAGAGAAAAATTATTTAAGGCGTCGTCGTTGTCTAGCAATGCCAAATCTTCCTCGACTTCTTCGGCGAGATCCACATCTTCCGTCAAATTGGTATTAGTTGTCGCATCTTCACTATTACTCGCGGTTTCCTCATTGATTTTGGCAGTGCTGGCGGCTATTTTTAAGATATCTATCCTACCGCTGCTGCTGTTAACATTCGCAGAAACTGTGGTGAGTCTCTGCAGGGTTAGATACGACTCTAGGGCTTGAAGGTTCAGGGCAGCTGCCGCAGCAGAGTTGACGGGAAGAAGCGCGGCTTGCTGCAAGGAGTTCATCATAGCGTTTTGCAAGGAAAGGGCCACGTTCTGGATAGACCTTTGCAAAAAGTTCTCCTGTAACATCGCCGTTGCCAGGTTAAGTTGCGTTGCGTTGATTTCGGTGGGTTTCGGCGACATATCGGTTCTATTTTCTTGTAGGACTGTGCTGTCTGTTGATGTTTGCATTATATTAGCATTTGATAAAAAGATGGATGGGTTTGTGTGAGGACGCGATAAATTTTAAGCGTTTTTAGACAGGTTAAACACTCTCACCTGTTGCTTTATCTTGATCCCCGCGTATAACGAAATTTATGTACCCACGTATTTTGATACGGTGACAAATTCTTATCGTGCGTTGAAATTTATAGTTTCTGTATTCCGTCCTCTTAAATATTTATAAAACCGTTTCGAATGGTAAATAAAAAATCACATACCTTATCACATACGTTTTTACTTAGGTAATTACTGTCCTTGGAGAAACTAATTTTAACCAACTTTTCGCACTCAACGTGTGTCTGTTGTTTTTTTGTTCGATCATTAGTGGATAGGATCGTCGTTATTCAAATGTCCAGCGCGCGCGCACACTCTATTCTTAAACAGTAGACCATCGACTAAGCAAGGTATCAAGGCGGCTGTTAAAACGTTCTTCACTTGTTTTTACCTGTGCGCCATCTAGATGAAAATAGAGGATAAGAGAGAGCTCCATGTAAGCTCCGCGCGGCCGACAGAGAAGGAAGAGTAACTTTTATTATTCATTATTACATTACAACCCCTTTCCTGCCCTTTCTTTATTTACTAAGGCTTCACAAAAGGGATGATAAACATCGATAATTACTTTTGAAAACATCCCAGAGCGAAACTATGGTGTATTTAAAAGCAAACAACCGTTTTATTTACATTGGAATAGTATATAAATAAATATTGGTTGAAATATAAACCGAGGGAAAGAATGTAATACTTTAAAGTAACTTTTATACTTATAAAAAATTTACTGTTACTCATAGAAGCTTGCGTTGCACTAGAATATTAATTATACGTTTTGCGTCTCATCTACCGTTAAAGTCTCCATTTTTAAACTTGGCGATACAGGGTGTGTCTTACTCCTACATTTATTTCAACCTCATCTAATGTGATATACTCAATTTATTTCGTTTATATTTAGATAACGATTATAAATATTTCATAAATACTAAATGAATAAACATTAGTTGTCTACCGTAAAATAAACTGGAATTTTGCAACTACCGCTTGAAGTCATTTACATAGTATAAGTAAACATTAAATAAATGTTGTTTGATATACATATCATGTTCATTATGTACAGAATTATGTAAAAAGAACAAATAAATAAAAAATAAAATTTAAATTGCAACGATTTTGATTAAATTTAATTATTGCATTTCGATAAGGAAATTATTCGCAATTTTCTTTAAAATTAACTAGAGATGTAACAATTCGGAGAAAAAAGGGAAAAATTGAGGGAAACTTTGTTTTACTCTGAAACAAATAGCTGAACTTACAGCAAATAATACAAACATTTTTGAAACTCGAGTATAAACACTTAAAAAAATACTTATTCAAATATTTCTTCACATATATTTTTCTAATTTAAACCTCAGTAAGTACAAAATTTATATATCCTGGATCTGTATGCTCCAATATGTGAAAATAGTAGACCTCAAGCACAAATCATTGAGAAATCAATGTATTTTTTTGTTTACGATAACAAAAAGAAACAAAACAATAATTTGTATGTGTAAATAACGCAAAAAATAGTTTAAATTAAAAGCAACATTTAAGTTGTTATTTTTTAATCAAATTTTAACATAAAACCAAACTGAAACAACGCGCTCAGAAAGAAAAACATTATTTTGCAATTTCACTAAAGGAAGATGGTCATATTCCATCTCTGATGCTTCTGATTTCAGAGCAACATAATTTAATAACTTTTTTATCAAAATAAATTTTAGCGATTATTTTTTTAATATACAAGATGTTTATTAAGTACTTGCACAAACTTTAAAGGGTGAACCTTTGACTAATTTTAAGATGAAAATTTCATACATGAGTAAGCAACGGCTAGATTCTTGAGATACAGAGCGTCCAAAAAAATTTTTGTTTCAGCAATTATTGTAAATGTTATTAACTTATTTGTAGAAGTAGATTAGTCTTAGTCTTGTAAATAATCTAAGCTTGTCACATCGCAATACAATCAATAAAATACACATCTTTTTACTTGTTTCTCAAAAATGCATAATGATTCAACTCGACAAAATTCCACAGCAGGTTTAACTTTAAACCCGTTTTTTTTTACAAAACGGGTGCTTCAAGCGACAAATACTAAGAGTACCTTTTTTGTACGTAAAAATAGATGGAGAACAGGTATGTTTAGTTAAAAATGACATACAGTGCGACACAAAAATGTTATGTTTATTTAAATCCAGGTACAACACTGTATGTGGTGCCCTCTAACATTACTCAAGAAAATAAATTATATTTGAGTTTTCTCAGTATCAATACTCCCAGTTTACCGAATTTCGTAAAATTGCCAAAAATACCTATGATCAAAATACCAAACAACAAATTTTTTTGAACGCTCTGCATCTCAACAACCAAGCCGTTGCAGACCTATGTTCATATGAACTTTTTATCTTAAAATTAGTCAAAAATTCACTCTTCAAAGTTTGTACAAGTACTTTATAAACACCCTCTATATCTAACTATAAACAGTATATTATCTGTTGTTTATTTTTTTGTTTTTTTCAATTATTTTGATGTGAAAAGAGATTTTTTTATAATATTGTTTAATATGCGTGCAAAAAGCTCTGTATGTTTAGGTATTCAAAACAAAATCTGTATTCAGAAAAAAATCAAATGTGTATAAAATAGATTAGACNACGAGCACAGAAAGAAAAACATTATTTTGCAATTTCACTAAAGGAAGATGGTCATATTCCCATCTCTGATGCTTCTGATTTCAGAGCAACATTATTTAATAACTTTTTTATCAAAATAATTTTTAGCGATTATTTTTTTAATATACAATATGTTTATTAAGTACTTATACAAATTTTAAAGGGTGAACCTTTGACCAATTTTAAGATAAAAACTTCATATATGAACATGAGTCCACAACAGTTTGGTTCTTGAGATACAGAGCGTCCAAAAAAATATTTATTTCAGCAACTATTGTAAATGTCATTAAATTATTTGCAGAAGTTGTTTAGTCTTAGTCTTGTAAATGATCTAAGCTTGTCACATCGCAATACAATCAATAAAATACAAATCTTTTTACTTGTTTCTCAAAAATGCATAATGATTCAACTCGACAAAATTCCACAGCAGGTTTAACTTTAAACCCGTTTTTTTTACAAAACGACTGCTTCAAGTGACAAATACTAAAAGTACCTTTTTTGTACGTAAAATTAGATGGAGAACAGGTATGTTTAGTTAAAAATGACATACAGTGTGACACAAAAATGTTATGTTTATTTAAATCCAGGTACAACACTGTATGTGGTGCCCTCTAACATTAAACAAGAAACTAAATTATATTTGAGTTTTCTCAGCATCAATATTCCCAGTTTCCCGAATTTCGTCAAATTGCCAAAAATATAATCAAAATACCAAACAAATTTTTTTTTAACGATCTGCATTTCAATAACCAAGCCGTTGCGGACCCATGTTTATATGAACTTTTTATCTTAAAATTAGTCAAGAATTCACCATTTAAAGTTTGTACAAGTACTTAATAAATATTCTGTATATTTAACTATAAACAGTATATTATTTGTTGTTTTCCTTTTTTATTTTAATGAAAAAAGAAGTTTTTTATAATATTGTATATGTATTTTATTTTTTGAAGGCGTGCAAAAAGTTTTGTGTATTTAATATAAAACTTACATAAATAAATCAATAAATAAATAGGTAAACAAACCAAAAGCTGTATTCAGAAAAAAATCAAATGTGTATAAAATAGATTTATGCAAGATTTTTCAAGACATATTCTAAACTTTTATAAATTAGAACTAGATATTATTTTTCGGCATTTTGCACAATAGTTAAAATAATTTATAAATTTTAATGAGAGGCCAAACTGAGGAGCCTGTGATTGTACAAGGTATCTATTAAGTTATTGATTGCCAAATTCTTACATGGTATTGATACAGTTGAAGTATCAGTAACAAGTTTGGTTCATTTTTATCCTTGTTATATTTATATGTATAGAGACACAAGACAAAGATTGTGTGGATCCCATTTTTTTACAGTTACCTAAATAAAGAGAATTTATATAATATATATGTACCTACTTTTTAAGTTCTTTAACAAAATTTTTCAGGATTTTTTCAATTTTCTCAAGAGACATAATATTCTACATTTATCGTTTCAATTCTAACTTTGAAAATGTTGGTTGTATGAAATATATTATTGTAACTCTGTATAAATTGGTAGGTACTGATACCTTAACTGGTTCAGCTGATTCAAAGAATTGTCAACAGGTTATCTTTAATTGGAATTGACTCTTGTTGATTTGCATTTTTACCAGGGAAAAACCTGTAGAAGTCGAATTAAGAAATACTCTTGGTATATATTTCCATTTTTATTTCAGATTTTCTAACTGTTTAAAAAATTAGAAATTTTGGGTAACTTCCTAGTAAATATTATCTCTAGTATAATTTCCAGCAACTTGTAATAGTAACGTCAGTTTCAAATTGCTTTGCTTTGCCTTGATTAATTTTGAAGATATCTGAAAAAATATACAGGGGCTCACATTTAAAAGATTGAAACCTCTTAGGAGGCATTTTTACACCAATACTCGTTTACTTATAATTTAATCGTAGTATTTGCCGTCAAGATATTAAAAGCTAATTTCTGGGCAACTAGTATATAAAATAGTATGGATTTAAAAAATTACGTAGAAAAAATTAAATCAGATTTAATATGTTTAGTTAAGAGATATTCAAACTCTAAGAGTATTTTCTGATATAACTATAATGTTTCTAATAATATAAATCTCTTCTTTCATGTTTGAATCAAGTAACAGTCAGAAAATAAAAGATTCTTTAATTTTAAAACTGCTTTTTTTCAATTATAAATCTTATATTCTTAGTTTTTGTACTTCTACTTTACTTGACTAAACGAATTCAAAATAATTATTATCTACCGCATTCCTGTACCTAGTCTTT